CCAGGCAGATGTTCCCCACTGTGAATATTCCAGGTATGCCACTGGGTGTCTGACTCCTACAGCAGCCCTTTCTCCCAGCCCCCCTGGCACACTGTGCTGGGGATGCTGTGCCCTCTGGTTTGGAGAGAGACCAACCTGCTCCTGCCCTCCTTGGCACTGCTCAGAGACCTCAACCAATCATCCCAGCTCCAAGCTGGTCCCATGGGCAGTTTATCCCACTAGCTGATCTCTTGTGCTCACTGAAGGGAGTGTTCACAGCCACAGGCCCTGCAAAAAAGGTGTTGCACGGAAATGGGGAGGGATCTTGGCCCTAAAGCCGTGGTTTGGCTTCCTGGAGCAAGCCAATAACGCCGTGTGCACTTGCATCGATCCTGCTTATTTTCCTTATTTATTCCTCCCTTTCATCCCTTCCGCTCCTTAACATAAAGCCACACAGGGCACTCTCCCTCCCAGACAAGATTTTGCCTCATCACTGGGATTTCAGCTCAGCACTGTTTTGAGCCCTTGGGTAACATCCACCCTGTACCACTGCAGGGGTCTGAGCTTTTCCTGTTTCCTCACCAGCACCAGTGGGAAACACCATTCCCACAGCCCTGTTTATCCGTAAGGTACTGGTGAGAGATAACAATCTTTGCTGTTTTCCCACACCTCTGGGTGTGAGGCAAGAGTAAAACCACCCGGTTAGGAGAGAACTGAAGTGAATTCCATTAAAGAACCATTTATAGGGTTTTTTCCCCCTCAAAGGACTGTGTTAGGGATCACTGGGCCAGATCCTGAGAGGCAAGAGATGAGACAGTGAGGGTGTGCAAGTCCAGCGTGTTATCCACACTCAAGGCATTCAAAACTTTCTGGACCACCCATGCCATTTATATGCAGTAAATGTTTGGGATCAGCACAACTGCTCCTCAGGCCACAGCACATCACAGCAGCACCTTCCAGGATCCCCAAGCAAGACAGCCAAAGGACAGGACAAAGCTGTATTGTTTTCCCCTCTCTTTGGCTCTCTGGGCAGACAGAAGGAAAAAAGGCCAGTGATGGTCACTGTGGGCCAGCTTTAGCACCTTGGGATGTTTGTTGGATCAGTGCCACAGCCCTGGAGCTCTCCTTGCCCTTTCCCTGTGTTCTTCCCGGAGCCCTGCACTGCCACAGCCTCTGAAGGTCACAGCAGCACATAAACAGAGCTGCAGGTTGGGGCTGAGCTAACCTGGGGGAAATCTTCACTGTATGCCTGCAATGCTCACTTAGCACATGGGGATTATGGAATTCTCTGCCTCCTGGGGCAGGTGGAGGATGGGATAACACCTGAGGTGCCCGTTGCAGGAGCTGTAGAAATGCCAAGTGTCCTGGGTGAGGGGTTGGATGAAATTGGTTCCAGCTGCTGCTGAGCCAGAGCCCATCCATCCCACATGCAGCAGATAAGGACAGGGCTGTGCACAAGGGCAGCAGGGAAGCACATGGGACAGGTGACCCTCCTCCTGAAGCCTTTCTGTGCAAGGCAAAGGATCCCCCTTGATCCAAGAGTCAGTCACAGATCTCCCTGCAGGCATCACTCACAGGATCCCAGAATGGTCTGTGTTACAAGGGACCTTAAAAGCTCATCCAGTCCCACCCCTGCCACAGGCAGGGACACTTTCCACTAGTCCAGGTTGCTCCAAGCCCCGTCCAACCTGGCCTTGGACACTTCCAGGGATCCAGGGACAGCCACAGCTTCTCTGGGCAACCTGTGCCAGGGCCTGCCCACCCTCACAGGGAAGAATTCCTTCCTAAAAGTGTATCAGGATTAGCCCAGCCCAACCAGAGTCAGATTTAAGCACAGGCAAATAAAGATGCATCATGGAAAGCTCTGCAGCTTTGAATAAATAAACCCAAACCCCCTCTTTTCCTTTGAAGCACCCACGTTCCCTGGATAGCTGTGGCCCAAGACTGACTATTGTGATCTGCAGCCTGCATCTTTAATTCTTCCTGTGTTTAAATCAAAACTAAGTGCTAGGAAAGGAGATTCCAGTGTTTTGGCACCCTGCTGTCCCCGGAAAGCCGGGCTGGTTCCAGACCTCATGGTTTTATTTGCCAGGAGGAAACATAAAAGTTTCCATGGGTGTGGGGGCCAGGTAGAAGCCAAGGAGACAGGAGGGATTTCAGGAGAAGGAACAAGCAGACTTCTTAAAGAAAGGGACAGGAAAGAGAACATGCAGAAACACCCCATTTCTTGCCCTCAGCAGATTCTGGGACGTCACTTGAATGACATGGGGAGACAAAACAGAGGCACTTTGTTCTAGTTCTGCAACTCTTGGAGGTAATGCAGAAATTCCCCCAGGGAAATTCAAAAGAGGGAGGGGAAACATCTGCATTTCTCCCTGTCCCTGGGCTTGCTACTGTCTAGAAAAGGCTGCAAAGGGCTAAAGGGGCCTTTGCTCTCTGCAGTCACCAAGGGTAGGTGATGGAAAATTGAGCTATGCAGAGTTTTGAGGTTTTGGCCAGTCCCCAAAATTTCCCAGGGCTTCTTCAAATATTTTCTCAGGGATTCGTGCTGAGATCTCGCTTGACCAGGGCATGTGCAGCTTCTCTGAACTTGGAGGAAGGGCCAAAGGCAGTGGAGAGGTTCCCAGAGAGTCCGAGGGCAACAAACTGCAGCTCCAGGGGCTGTTTTGCTGCCAGGAACACAGATCTGCACTAGCCTCCCTCTGGAAACCTCATCCCCCTGGTATTCCTTCCCTTCCTCAGGGACTACCAGCTCCCAGTGCAGCTCCAACCCTTCCTCTCAGGGCTGGAGACATTTGCCTGCCCTAATATAAACCCCCTTTGTCTCCAGACCACCCTCTTCAGCCTTTTCCACTCCCTTTAGAAAAGGGATGCCTTTTAAGGGATGCCTTAAACTCCAGCTCTGCCTCCATCCCACATGGATGCAGTGCTCTCATTTCCATCAGTGTCATCTATTGACAGGAGAAATGCCTGGGCAGGAAATTGAGGTTACTGAGAGAAGAAAAGTGCCTCACATCAGCCCCAAATCCCTGTGGGATGCGCTGCCTGTGCCCTACCCCAGACCTTGCCCCACATTCCAAGTAGGACAGACTGCAATTAAAGCCCCCAGCAAACAGAAAATGCCACTGAGCCTTCCCTGCGAGCCTGAGGTGGGAAGTGGCTGTGCTGCAATGTTAATTCATTTATTCAAGGGCACTCAGGAATGGCTGAGCAGGGAGCAGGGCTGGGGGGCCGAGCCTTTTCCCCTCCCCTATCCTCACTCCACCTCTGAGTCGGTCCTGGTGGTCAGGAGACCCTGGCTCAGAGACCTGCAGGGTCCATCATGCCTCTGTCAGCTTTCCCACCAATGAACCAGTGTTCCCACCAACAGACCACTTCTACTGGGGAACAGCCACCACTCCAGGACTATCAGGAATCAGCCACAGAGGCAAAACACTGCTGTGTTTTCAGCCACAGGCGCAGAGACACGAGGTGTGAAGTACTCGTGTGTCCTGCAGAGCTCGCGGCACACACCGGGCTTAAAGAGTGTTAGAAAAGTGCCATGGGAAGGCAGTGCCTGTTCTGGGGGGACACCTGCTGGCAATGCCTGTGCAGCCCGAGCCGATCTTTGCTCATCTCCTCCCACGGAAGCCAAGGAGAAATGAAAGTGTAACAGAGATGCAGGGGGAATCTGGAGGAAAAGGTTCACAGTGCCAAGGTGGGACCCAAAGGGAAAACATCAACATGCTGCCCTGCACGCGTCCCAGGCCCTGATCCCAACTGCCATTTGAGGACAGCCAAAGAAACGCCCAATTCCCACTAGGTGTGAGCTAAATCAAAGAAAAGCTGGAATGGGAGCATTCCAGGGGCTAGATGGGCTGGCTGGAAATCCCAGCCTGTTCTAGGCAGGACAAATCCAGGCACGAAGCTGCACATCACACACAGGGGCATTTGCAGGAATCCTGGCAGGCAGTGCCTGGAATACATGTTGACTCCTGTCAACTCACCCCTTCACCAGAAGATCCTGGTTTTAATACCTCTGGAAAGTGATGGAATGAGTTCCTATTAGGACAGACATTTTCTAAGAAGCAGCCTCTTTAATGTGAAATTTGTTAACTGAGACCACGTCTTCTGTGCTCAGAGAAAAGGGGAGAAGGAGAGAGAACTCTGAGAAGGTATTAAAGAGAGCTTTGAGTAAAGCACAAAGAAATTCAGATGAATGTATACTTCTTTAAAACCCAAGGATGTCCTCTGCTGGCCAGGAGGATGTTTCCAGTTTGGATGCTCCCAGATCACTCTGGGCCTAGATAGCTCCTCCTCTACTATCCAAGCAATTTAAAGGAATCCCTGGCCAAGGGCCAACTAAACAGCAAGTCAGAGCTGGCAGGGTCAGTTCTAAGAGGATTATGTTTAACAGCCTCAGGGAATACCAAGCAATTTTTTCCCTAATTGCTCTTCACTGCTGCTCTCCAGCAAGAAATGCAGGAAGTATTGAGGATTTGTTACCTCATAGAAATACTATACAAGAAACTGGGGTTTGTGGCTGATCCTGACAGCCTTTCCTACCTCTAGCAACAGCCCTTTACTGGGGCTTGCCAGGAAAAACAAGAAAAGGAACTGGAAGCATCCCAGAGCAGAGAGGGTTCTTCTGGAGGACCATTCAGAAGGCTGTCATGTCCAAACTGGTGGGTTGTGGTTGGATCTTTCCTTCTCAAAACACTCCTCACCTCTCTAGCCCTCTTCCAAAAGCTTTCCTAATCATTCCTTGTCCAGGGATTCCCTTTACACAAGGTTTAATTTGCTCCACAAACAGTGCTGAATCAAAAGATGAGCAACACGAAGGAATACAACTCGAACATACGCTTTATACACTGAATTTTCCAATCCTTCTAACAAAAGCTAATGATGTCTTATTATTCCCAATATTCCAATTGGAGCTGGAATCTCAGAGATTATAAGAAAACTGTAGAGCTGTAATTCTCAGACCCTGATTCACAGATAAACAATGAGCCCTTGTTTTCTTTTTTTTATTATTTTTACAGAACAAAGGAAAAAATACTCCAATTCCAACATCATTATGCACGAGACTTCCCAGTACCACGTCCAGGTGAGCAGACCATGGAGCTCTGAAGGGCTGGGATGCCAAGGGCAGGGACAGGTCCTGGTAATGAAGTGTGTTCCCTGTGTCCTGGACCTTCATGGGGCCAAAGAGCAGTTGGGAGTCTCCTTACAATTAAGGTATTTGGATAAGGAGTAACTGGGTAGAGGAGGATGGGTTGGGAGGAAATGCTGTTAAAAAGACAAGGGGAAATCTGTACAAGGAAAGAGGAAAAGGAGAAGCTGCTGTCCCCTCCCTCCTCTGTGTCACTCTGTGCTTCAAACCCTCCTGCTCAGCAGAGAGAGGTTAAAAGCAGAGTTCTCATGGTGATTACAGAACTCACCTTCCCGAACAGCAGAGACCACGTGGACTATCAGCTCCCAGCTCTCCCCAGCTCCTTGTCCTCTCAAGTAGCTCAAAGTCCTCCAGCCACTGGGGCAATAAGCCAAAGCCATCTCCCAGTGTCAGGCACCCAGTCCACGGAGAGGAGCCAGCCAGGCCATCCTGGGCTCTGGGCCATTCCTGAGCACAGCACACCGTGCAGGCCAGGACACTGTGGGGACGGAGCTGCCCGCTCACCGCTGCGGAGGGAAGACACTTCATGAGGTTCATATTTAGTACACGGGGCCCTTCAAAACTCTAAATTTTAACTTTTAAAATGCCTGTTTGGAAGGTGGTCCTGGTTTCCGTGGGAGAAAGCAACTGGATGGCCCAGCAGTCATTAAAACAGTAAAAAAGTCCCAGGCAGAGCTGGGACTTTACACAGTGCACGAATTCCTCATTAATTAGGCCCCATGCCACCCGTCCCTGAGTCTCTCCCCTGAACTTTGACCAAGGCCAACAGGATTTCAGTGGCAGGCACTGACACAGGATGAGGTTTCCTCACAGGAGAGATTTTACACCCTTTGAAATAATCTGATCAAAGTTTAATGGTGGATGGACTCACTGCCCACTCTTACAAAAGCTGCTGTATTTGAATATCGGGGGTTTAATGAGATAAAGCAAAGATAGCAGGAAACTTCTGCCCCTCAATCCACCCATACCTACAGAAAATGGAAACTATTCTAATGAGCGAGTCAACAAGTAGTTTCCTCTCCATGAAAATTAACAGTAAACAGCAAAGGAATTTATGAAGCTTGTAAAGCTGGTGGATAAAATAATAGAAGAGATAAGAATGCCCATCATCCCATATAAACCATTCTCCTCACTGCTCCGAAAGCAGAGGCCTGCCACCTCTGCACAGATAAGACTGACTTGGCAAATAACCTTTCTGCGCACTGTTTTACAGTTCCAGTAAGACACCCTGGTGTGTTTTCATACATGACTGCATTGCTAATCTCAGCTCAGGCTCACACCCCTGCCTGCAGTTTTATTTAGTCAGTGCCTCACCCCATACCTGTGCTCAGTGAACACGCAAAGGGTCTTGCACCCTGCATAGCTTGCCCTCTTCTCTGCTCCTTCCTCCAGGCTTTGGGAATCACCTAACAGCAAATGGGCCACCACAAACCCTATCCACCCCTAATTCCCACCAGCATCAGCACCAGAAAGAAGCTGCTTGACCCCTGACAAGGTTATGTCTGATCACAGGGAGAAGGCAGGAAGACATAGGAGCAAAGGGAGAAAAGCCAGGCAAAACTCATCTCTGTACTCCAAATTTCAGATCAATTTAGGACTTGCTGTACAACACCCCCATTTTTCCAGCTCTTGCTTTGAAACCAGGCTGCAGGGCTTGTACTGCAGAGAGAACAGGAGTTTGCAGTGCTGCCAGCTGGGCAGTGAAAGAACAACGTGAAACAGGACCAGTTCCTCTTCCCGATTCTTTCCCCTTCCCTGTTGTCATCTGTACACGTGTCCTGGCTGTGCTGTCACGGCACAAGGACAACAGCTTGGCCAACAGCCAGGCTGCTCCGAGTCACAGCTTTTCCTGCCTTGCAGTCCCCTCTGCTGGCAGACACATCCAGTTCTCCGGTGCTCAGGGAGCAGCAGCTCCTGCCTGCTGCTGAGCAGTTACCTGGATTCTTGGAGTGGCCTCCACGCACTGCTGGGAGGCACTAGCACCGTTTGGATGGGACACACCTCTCCTTTCCACAGCTCCCTCGCTGCCCTTCCCTGCTGAGCATGGAAGCTCTCCAGAGGAGCTGTTCCCAGAGCAGGGACCCCACACAGCACACTTGGCACAGAGGACTAACACTCACCCAGGGCTTGTGTGAGCTCTGTCTGGCACAAATCCCACACAGGCAGGTCTGCTACACGAGACAAGCAAATTCCAAGTGTTTTTAGTTTGGCAAGTGAAGCTTAACTGCCATATTTAAACTTCCAAGCCAGTTTCAGAAAGGCCAGAGCAGTAACTCGTGTGTTGGAAGCATTTGCCCTGCTGGACGGGGGCCAGAGCTCCTGGAATTGAGGAGATTAATATGCAAGTGGTGAAACTGGTTATGCAAACTCATTACAAAACCCAGATCTTTCACTGCCATGGCCAGGCTGGTACCACCAACCAGAACTGCTTTGTGCAACAACTCCTTCACACCTGAGCTCTGAAGAACTACAAACAGTAGCTGAAGCCTTCAGAGATGCTTTCACCACTGATTTACACACTATAACAAATGTTTTCTACCTGTGTTTTCCTCCCTTTCCTCCACACCTTCAGCACTTGGCCACCTTCATCATGGACAAGAGCGAGTCCATCATGACGGTGGACGACGCCATCCGGAAACTCATCCTGCTCAACTCCAAAGAGAAGATCTGGACGCAGGAGATGCTGCTGCAAGTGAATGACAAGTCCATCCGGCTGCTGGACTGCGAGACAAAGGTACCTGGAGCTCTGTGGGAGCTGTGGGGTGCAGTGGGTGCCTTTCCCGTTCTACCTGGGCAAGGTAAGTTCTAAGGAACACAAACAAGAGCAAATCATTACCAAAATCCACTCCTGGATTAGAGCCAGCCCTGCAGCGTGGGAGAGGGATGGTTTCATAGCAATGATAAACTAAAGATCAGGACAGGGATCCCAGGAGTTCCTGCCAGGACAGTTCCCCCTCAGTTCAACAGTTCCCACTGCCTGACACCTTCCTCTTCCTCTTCCAGGAGGAGCTGGAGGACTTCCCTCTGCCGACAGTGCAGCACTGCCAGACGGTGCTCAACCAGATGCGCTACTCCTCCATCCTGCTCCTGGTGTGTCAGGATTCAGAGCAGCACAAGCCCGACATCCACTTCTTCAACTGTGATGAGGTGGAGGTGAGCAGAGCCCTCCTCGTTTGTCTCGCTGCCTGCCAGCCCCGTCCTCCTTTGCCCCCAATCCTTCCCAGACACACGCCCTTAAAAACACCCCTGTTGTCTCTTTGAGGCGGAGTTGGTTCACGAGGACATAGAAAGTGCCCTGTCAGATCACAAGCACGGGAAAAAGATACGGCCACAGACACTCAAGTAAGTGCTGCAGGATACAGCTGGGAGTAACAAACCCAAAGCTGCTTGCAGTGGTGTATTCACACTCCAGTCTCTTGGAAACAGGATCAGCAGCCACTGATAGGTTCCTCTGCGACCTTTTCCTTGCAGGGCAAACCAAGAAAAGATCAAGCAGAGACAATCCATCCTCCCCCCGCCGCAAGGGCCGGCTCCCATCCCGATCCAGCATGACATGCGAGGCTCAGGGATGAACAGGAACAGGGTGGCACCTCCTTCCCAACATGATCCAGGTACTGGGAGCACTCAGGAAGTCTGTACTGGGGATGGGAAACTCATGAACCCAGAAAGCCAACCCTTCTGGTCTGTGGTATAAACAAGTGTTGTACCCACTGGGCATCTTCTGCTCAACAAATCAAAACTCCTAGAAACTCCTTGTAACAACACCTATATTTGGGGGATTCTGAAATTCCCAAAATAAGCAAAGGTCCCCCATAAAACTGAACCACCATATGAAGTTTGAACTAAGCATTAGTGACCTAAAAATGTACAGACGAGACAGACCTGGTCAGAAAGACAAGTTCCTGGCTCTGCTGACTTCACAGGAGCCAAGATTTCATCCTCAAAAATCAAGTGGTTTCCATGAATTCTTGTAAAGTTGAGTGTGGAAATGCAGCCCTGAACTCTCCCCTGATTCCAAAAGCATCCTGACTTCAGCCCCTTTGAGCTGGCTTGAAAACAGAACAGAAACAAGCTCTTTCTCTGACAAAAGCTCAAACTGATGAGCAAACTGCAAGCATCTGTCATCCCTGCCTACCAGCTTATCTTAGGATTCATTTCTAGTTTCAAGAAAAACATACAATAGCATACTATAAGGAACTCCAAAACACTCCTTTCCCGGGATGGGATCTGAAGACAAGCAGCTGCTCTGGCTCCTGAATGGAGAGCTTATTTCAGGCCCAGTTCTGCATCATGAAAGGAATACCCATGTTTCTGAGCTGGACCATGAATAAACACCTACATTCTGATGCAGAGCAGTCACCCTTACCTCTGCCCTTCCCAGGGAGCTCAGCACAGAGCTGAGCTTACACTGCTCCCATCAGCTGAGCCGGGAACTCATCCAGGCAGGATTTCTGGCTCTGAGAGCACAGAGCCCGGCACGAGAGCAGATGACAGGAGAGGGCTTTGAGTGATGCCTGTTTGCTGAGATCACTTCTCAAAACACGCCCTACTGCTTCCTCTACAAAACCTGTCAGCGCTAATCACTTCAGCCCCACACTTACAGATGACGTGGATTTTTCACGGTCCTTTGCCAAAGCTGCCTCCCAGGTTCTCCCCCTCGGTGTATCCTGCTGTGCTGGCCTTTCAAACCACATTTCACTGAGCTGACAGAGTTTTCTTTTCACAAGGGGCCACCTCAGCAATTGTTCACACTGAAATATCTCCCCTCACTGAGTGTGTGTCTTCTGGAAGACAGGAGGTGCCTGTGAGTTGGGCTCTTTAACACCCATTAGAAACACTCGAGGCTGCACACAAGTTTGTACAAAAATGCTGATTTGTGCACAGGCCTGCCTAAACATCCATCACGCAGAATTCCTGGCATGCTGCTTTCCAGCAGTTCCATTCACTTCCAGGGGTTATCCCTTCTTTCTTAACTACTGTTCAGTTAAACTGGAACCTCAGGGAGAACGAAGGCTCCCGTGAAGATTAGAAGAGAGAGCAAAGTCAATCTAATCACACTTGACATCTGGTTCTTCAGTTCCTCGGCACAGATCCATCAAAGGCACAGGAGTTGCTGACTCAGGGACTGGCAGGTCTCTGCTGGTTGCTCCCCCTGATTCATTCCCTGTCTATACCTGAGAACAGGCAGAGTATTGACACAGGGGTTGGTAGGCAAGTGCTGTGACCTTGGAAGATTTAATCAGCAGTTTTGATTACCTCCTGCTCCTTATGGTCTCCTGAGGTGCCCTCATAACCCAGAGTAAACACCCAAGCTGGGAGTTACCATCCCATGGATCCCTGCCTTGAATGAAGCCTGTTTTCAACCTCTGATAGGAAATATCTTTTTCTCTCCCTCGTTTGCAGATTATGAACGACGAAGCTCGAGCTCTCACGACCATGAAGAGTCCCGGGCCATGTTAGCACAGAAGATTGAAAAGGAAACGGTGGGTAACCAGGCCAGTGCACAGCCCATAGGCAGGAGGAGAGGCAGAACAGGGAGTAGACATTTAATGCACAATCTGGTCATTTTTCAAACTGATATCTGCTGTGCATAAAAGATAAGATGGTCAAAAGCAAAGCTCCATCACCGAGTGAGTTACAACATCCTCTGACCTGAGGCAGCTCTGCTGATTCCAGGTCTGCTCCTCCCCATCCCACAGCCCGGTCTTGGGTTATTTTCCAGCCATCCATTAGCAGGGGTCACTTGTCACATTGATAAGTACAGCACCCAGCCAGGCCCAGCTTTGTGTTTGGAAAGTGATGAATTCAGCTTCATTTCATGCCTGGATTGCCAATTCCTGTGCATTCTTCCAGGAAATGTAGCAGGCTCTGGGATTCGGGCTCCCAGCTGGGTGCAGCCCAGGCTCTCTTTCACCTGTGTCTCTGGGGTTTCTGTCCCCACAGCAAATCCTGAACTGCACTCTGGATGACATCGAAGTGTTCGTGGCCCAGCTGCAGAAGGCAGCAGAGGCGTTCCGACAGCTCAACCAGAGGAAGAAAGGGAAGAAGAACAAGAAGAAAGGGCCAGCAGGTACAGTGCAGTAGCTGGAACCAACAGGGAATACAGGGGCACAGGTGAAGTGGGGGACACACCTCAGCTCACATCCCACCAAGGCCAGATGGATGCAGCAGCACCACTCCAGACTCAGCCACGCCATTTCGGAAGGTGCTGCTGGTCCATGGAGATCTCCTGGAGACCACAGGGAGCCTACTGAGGCCTCCACCACACAGAAAGGCATTTGGCTTTCCCTGTCCCCTGGATTTTTAGCAGTTCTATTCTCAGCAACCATTTTCGGTGTGTTTTCTGCCCAGCAGGCAGATGAACCATTCCCAAACAGGGATTCTGTAATTAATATGTCCTTCTGTGCCCTTTCTCCTGGCAGAGGGAATGCTGACTCTCCGAGCGAGACCCCCGAGTGAGGCCGAGTTCATCGACTGCTTCCAGAAAACCAAACTGGCTTTTAACCTCTTGGTAAGGACCGCAGGGAGCTCCCATCCCACGCAGTGACAGGGCTGGTCCTTGTCCATCCCAGTAGCAAGAGTTCAGAGTGACATCTGAATGGAAAACACCACCAAGAGTCAAAGGTGTAAATTCCAGGTTCTTCACAACCCAGGACAAACATTGTATCAGGCTGGTGCCGGTCGTTCGGGACAAGCTGTTAAACCAAAACTAGAAGCATGAAGTCCAAGATGAGACGGAGCAGCCAGAGGCTTGCAACACCTGAATCTTTTCAGATCCAGGCCTGAGAAGTCTATCCCTGATATTAACTGATGCCCCCCATTGCCCCCCTATATTCCTGGCTCCTTTCTTTCTCCCCTGGAAGACCCTCTGTATTAAGAAGGGAATGAAAAACAGGTTCCCAGTGCTGCCAGCTCTGCTTAGTGAAATGTGTGAGACCAGGAGGGTCACAAGCCAGAAGGAATTCTGTCAGTTCTGACCAAACCTGCCCAGTAAACACATCCCACAAGAACTTATTAGTAAGGAAACCACAGAGATTGTAAACAACCTCAATGTAGGACACAAAGCTCAGCCTTTTCTTTCAGAGGCCAATATGAATAATTTGTGCCTGTTCGGGGCCAGGAAGAGCAGCTTATCTCCTGGGAAGAGCCCAGGGTTGAGCACGGAGAACTGGGAATCCATGGTGGAGCCCTGCCACATTCCACACCACGTGGCTGGGAAGTCCTTGAGAAGGGTCATTTCATTTAGTCCCCTTCTTGCCATCAGTTGTTTCACACTTTCCACTCCACATTAATGTTTAACCACCAGCATTTAAAATTCTTTGTATTTCAGGAGGAGCAGGGAGCCTGTTTTCCATGGCAGCAATGCCAGGACAGGAGAAGGAGCTGAATGGAAGGACAAACTGAAGAGCTTTCAGCTCAGCTGATCATTGATAATAATACCCTATTCTTACAGTAAACTCACCTAAGTGTTTGCTCCTCCACTCCACCACAACTTACTCCAATAAATACCATTGGATTTGGAGCATTTCAGTGGCCAGGGCAGCTGTAGGTGCCACAGGCAAGCCCTTGGTGGAGATTTTTCCTCTTCAGCAATTTGGCAAAGGACCTATAAGACACTTGTCCTGTTGTTTTCATTCATGGAACTAGTGGGATTGCTACTCCCCAGTCACCCTCCTTATCAGTCAGCAGCAATCCCTCAACGTGACAGAAAAGAGAAGGCACACTCAGGTCAGGGTTAACCCAGGTTTCCTTCCTCTTCCCAGGCCAAACTAAGGAAGCACATCCAGAACCCCAGCGCTTCGGAGTTGGTACATTTCCTATTTGGACCACTGGAACTGGTAAATCCTATTTCCACCCCATTAATAAAGCCTGACTATGAACAAAAGTGCCAGCCAGTTGTGGTTCCCATTGGGAATCTGCCTGCTCTCACCTTCAGGCAAAGCTGGCTCAGTATTTGCACTGAAAATAGGAAGCAGAAATCCTGACATGGAAAAGGACAAGAAGAGACACAGAAATAGCAAGATATTTTCCATTTTTTGAAGTGCCAGCTTGTGATGTCTCTACTAGCAGCTCATTTTTAGACCAGACCATGCTTTGACTCCAACATAAAAAATTTTCACATTCCTCTGAACTGCCCAGTCTTCTTCAAAGCTTTAGGCTAATGTTTCTTGAGACGACTGAGCTGATCTCAGGATCAGCTTTGTCTTTGATTGCTGTTCCTTTGTGTGTCTCTGGTTCAATGTTTTGACCGTTTCCTGCAAATTGTCTCCTGTTTGTGTCTGTGTGTAACCAGATCATCAACAGTTGCGGTGGCCCCGAGCTTGCCCGCTCTGTCGTCAGCCCACTTCTCTCTAAGGACGCCACAGATTTCCTCAGAGGACACCTGACACCCAAAGAGATCAACCTCTGGGATTCCCTGGGGGAGACATGGACCAGATCCAGGTGAGGACAGAGCTGCCACCTCACCAGGTTCCTGGTGAAAGGACAGTTGATTCTATCAGGTCAAGGACGCCCTGATGCTCCTGCTTCTCCCTCACACGCCCTCAAAAACATTCCTTGGGAATCTCACCTCATATTCCCGCTTCGTGTCCTAGAGCCGAGTGGCCCCGAGACGCAAACATCCCCACCTACATCCCCAAATTCCGCAACGGCTGGGAACCACCCACAGAAATCTTCCGTGGAGCTCCCTGGGAAATAGACATCGGCCACCTGCAGGAGGAGGTTAGTCCTGTGTCCCTGTGATCCCCTCTTCTCCTTCCCCCTTTTCCAGAGAGACAGATCTGTGGGGGGTGTAGTGGTATCTAACAAGCAGAGAGCTCAAAACTCGGTTGGTTCTGGTCACTCCAGTTAAACACAGAATGAAACTAAGGCTGGAAAAGGGCAGCAATTACCAGCCTCTCCTGACCAAAAGCCACTATCACGTAACTGAGCTCCAGGGACACAGGTCTGCCTGAGGAACATTTTGGGGTGCACCTCATGGTGACCAAAAGCTTCCAGGCCATGACTCATCTACCACTGTCCCCCTCCTTTCCCCCCTCCCTGGTAACGCTGCCTCCGTGTCTGCCTTCCCAGCTGTCCTCAGCCAATGGATATCCCTACCGGAACTCCTCGCTCAAGCGCGGCCAGGCGGCTGACCCGACACAAGCCGTGGATGCCTTCAAACAGAACGTCCCTCAGCACGGGAACAGGTCAGGGATCCCCACTCCCAGCTCCACCCTGGGAACCTCACACACACACATGGACAGCTACACAGCACCGGCACGTTTAGGCAGCCTGGAGCTCCCTCCCTGCCACTGTTAATGACCCCCAAGAGAAGGTACAGATCACACAAGGAATCGCCCATGGAAGCACTGTCTGCTGTTCAATCACCAGCAGCTCTGCCAGGAAAACACTTCCAGGGCTTTTCTACCACAAGAGGCAAAAATATTGCCTGACCTCATTAGCCCACTCATAGGTCTCATTCCCTACTCTCAGCCCAGCAAACTGACACTGTGGGTCAGGGGCCACAGGTGCTGCACTGCACTTTTGCTCTCAGTATGTTTAGAGACACTGGAATCATGGAAACACAGGATGGATTGTGTGGGGTTATAGACTGTCCAGTTCCAACCCCCACATTCCAACAGACCAGGTTGCTCCAGAACTTACAGATCAAAACCACAGCAGAATACCTTAAATCCAATTATATCAGCAAATAACTTATTTTTCTTGTTCACCACATCACAGGTCCTCGTGGGACCATAAAGTGGTACTGATGCAGGAAAAGTGTGTGGAGCAGGGAAAGAATTAGGATCATTTCCCTTCTCCAGTTCCAGTTTTCTCAGTTAGGGTGGGAAAAACACAGAGAATTTTGTTTACATGAGTAGATTTAAGTCTGGTTTTAGTAACTGTTAGACAAAACACACAGGCAAACATTTCCATCTCCATCAGCACAGGTAAATTACAAACAGCAGCACTGGAATCTTGGGATAGAAATTATCAGGGTGCCTTTGGCCAAGGCCACCTCTCACTGGGACACCCCCCAGTCCGGGCACAGCGTGGGCTCATGGAGAGCAGCTGAGGATCTCAGGTGTTGCACCTGTTTACCTGCCCTTCAAACTGTCAGTGGCAACTTTTCCTCACAGGTAACAGTTAAGAAAAAAACAAAACCAAATTCAAGTTCATTGCACTGCAGTTGAGTGTGCCCAGTTTGCCAGGATGACAGTCCTGCCACAAACATTTTTCCTGCTGTGCTCGTGCTTTTTTCCGAGGAGTCTGAACTAGTTTTCTAGTCAAGAGACCCCATATTAGCAAAAACACTCACACATCAGTCCTACAGTTATTTACAGGGCTTTTGGCTGCAGAGAAGTGTCCTGAAAGCCCCAGGCAGCACCACAGCCATCAGCACAGGTCGCTTGTGCACAGCCCAGGTGCACAGGGAGTACACATCAGCTCCTCCCTTATGACTCATTTACCTTCTGGAATGCCACAAAAGAAGTAATTCCGACCTAACTCGGGCCTTCCTCCCCCTCCCTGCCTTCAGGGTGCTGCTGGGCAAGGCCACTGCTCCCTTTCTGGCGGGGTGAATTCAATCTGACTGCTCCAAGCTGTTCCCCACGATGGAATTACAACTTAAATACTGCACGTGGGTGTAACTCAGTCAAGAGCTGTCCCAGAGCATGGAACTAAACACAACACTGCAACCACTGGTGTGTGTCAAACACTAAGCCAGGGATTTCAACTTTTTCAGACCACCAAAAACATATAACAAGGCAAGAAAATCAATTTAAACTAAGCATATTGGGGTAATATTTCAAAGCCAGGTTTTACAGGTTCAGAAGAGCTGAGCTTCCACAGTGCATGCATTTAAAATCACTGACCAAACCCAGTAATTCAGAAATGGAAATTGCTGGTAGTGCTGGAAGCTCTGGTTTCACCAGCTTACAGAACTGGACCTAAACTGGAGGAGAAGCTGAGCCCCTGCTCCAAACCCACAGGGAATATGGCATCAGGTATCTGTGCAGGCTACACACCACAAGCAAAAAGATGCAAGTGCACTAAAATACCTCCTACCTGTCCTTCCACAAGGCAAGACAGTTTTCCATACAGCAAACATTTTCTGAATTAAAAAAATAACACTACACTCAACTGGAGAAGAAAATGAGACCTGCAAAATTTTCCCCAGCCAGGCAAAAGGTAAAAAAAAAAAAAAAAAAAAAAAAAAAATTTCAGTTTGGGTCAAAGAGAATCTTTCATTCTATTTTTTCACCATTTTCAACAATCTACTGTATTTATTTTGTCTCTCCTCAAACAAAAAGCTAATTTAACATGGAAAAGTGTTATGGTCTAATGTTAGAAATTCCCAAGCAGACACATGAATGCATTTGTCTTCCCCCTCTCCCAATGCATCTTAGAACAGAAACATTCAAACTCAGTGTTCCTGGAAACCTGCAGAATTCTGTGTCAGCAGCTCAGTGGTGCCTGATGAAAACCCCACAGATTTCCAGTCAGTTCTGCCTGCTCTCATTTTCAATTCGCTTTCTCCCAGCTTCTCCCTGCTCTGCCATCTGGGGCTGTTGTTTCCACTGACCAGGACAGGAGGGTTTCACACCCAATTTTTCCCAGGAGGTACAATCCAAATGTTTGGTTCATGCCCTGTCAGCCCCTCCAGGCCTTAAAAAGCAGTATTTTCTTCACAGTTCCCCCCAAAAGACCACTAACCAAACCCCCTACAGCTTTGTGTTTGCTTGTCTGTCCCCAAAACCGAGATATTTCACTAAAATAAGGGGTGAAAATCTTCCTCAAAAAGAGGAGCAAAGAGATGCTGCCCCTCCCAACACAAACCTGCCATCACCACTGTTTTACCAGTGAGCCCACTACCAGCATCCATTAAAACTGGGTTTTTCCTCTGCTGCAGGACCTTTGAGGCCCAGGGAATGGCCCTGCCCAAGAGATATGCCAAAATCCGCTATGACTTCACAGCGCGGAACGCCAACGAGCTGTCCGTGCTGAAGGATGAGATCCTGGAGGTGAGCACGCCTGGCAAAGGGCAGGACAGACCTCAGGACACCAGCAAACACCAACCCATTCCGAGCAGTTACATCAAGTTTTGCACAAGTCTTAAGCTGGAACAGACAGACTCTGTGTGCTGGGTCATTTCCTGAGCTGAAACACATCAGTCATTACAAGGAGGGAGGGAAACAACTCAGTGCAGTGCCCTGCTCACCGCCTTCCTGGGTCTGTGCCAGTTATTACCACTTCCCCCTCCTCACGGAATTATTTTCTCTGAAAACATCCTTTTTCATAACCTTTCTCTTACTGCACTGCTGGTGGCAGCTGCAGAATGTGGGACACAACTTAGGCCAGCACTCAGCTGTGACCCGAGGAAAAGGTTTCTGTACAAAGTGTAGCTATTTTTACCGATTTAACACAAAAAGACAACAGTAACTTAGTCACTGGAAAAAAAACATGAAGAAATAGGGAAATGGAGTAGGAACTACGAGTTCCTCAGCACCCAGAGGTGCTCTCCTGCTCATCCACCCTTTGGATAAGTCCTGATGCCTTCCAGGAAAGGTTTCAGTCCTGAATTGCAGATGAGAGCAACAGATCTACTCTGAGCTCCTGCCCTCAGTGATGTTATTCTGGCAACTTCACCTTCCATGTGGTCCATCTCCACTGTACCCCGTTTTTGTGTGCCAGCAGTCTGTGTTCCCACCAGCAGGTCTATTTTTGTCCCTCTCCCAGGTGCTGGAAGATAACAAGCAGTGGTGGAAGTTGCTCAACCGGAGCGGGCAGGCCGGTTATGTCCCGTATAATATCCTGGATGTGGTGAAGCTGGAAGAGGTGGAACAGGTCTGTAGGCAGGTGGTATCTGACTGGAAGCACGTGCAGGGCACCATCAACCTCTGGAAATAATCCTGTCATTAGAGCCCCCAAATTTCTCAGGATGCTGTGCCCAGGTCAGGATGGACCCTCACAGACAGACAAACTCAGGAGATCCCCGAGTCTCCCAAGATAAAACTCTCACATTCTGCCATGCTCACCTTCCCCCTTCCCAAACAAGTGTATCCTTCCCAGCCATGCAGCAGCCCCTTCCTTTCCAAAAAAGCAAATTCTTCCATGAAAATGCCGAGGTTTTTGTTGGAGGTTAATTTAAATACAGACAGTTCCCTCATCTAGTTCAGTTCAGCAGCAGGAACACTTTGCTGGAGTGGAGGCAGATGCACACACTACCTAAGTGAGAATTAAGTGAATATTGCATCTTGCAGTGCAAAAATGCAGAGCTGGAGTGCTCTAAATCCTCTAAGGAAGCACGGAATTACTTCCCCACTATGGTATAGCAGAGTTTGGGCAAATCATAAGGTGGCCCAGCAGGTCTATGGATAACCCCCTGTGAGTTTAAACTAAGTGTCAAAAAACTTTCCAGACAGGTCCAGGTCCTTGGCAGTGGTCCTGCTACACATCCCAGTAACAGAGCACTGAGGCTTTGCCTTCCAATAGGATTTCTGTTTGTTTTCTCCTCCTGTAAGGATCCTTTTGCTTCCCAAGGAAGTCCTGTGAGCAGTAATTTCTGCACAGCAAGAGGCTAAAGGGCTGAGTCACACATGTGGGAAGTCATCTGCAGCAGCAGCAAGGACGCATCAAACGCCACATGTGATAGTCATGACATGTTTTCCAGGGATGTTAATTCCCTCACACAATCCTCAGCCTTTGGTTTGGGCTGCTCATTCCCATGAGAACCCAGAAATTACCTTCTTCCACGCAGCTCCCCCTGAGGTGCCACCAGCCCCACACCAACACAGAACACAGCAGTTTGTCCCTCTGTGAGTGAGAGGCAAAAAGCTCAAGAAAGTGAAAAATGGCAAAAAAAAATTCATACACCTTTTTTTCATCTTTTCTCACCAGTCTAACCAGAGGTACAAAGGAGATCTGAGCCCCAGGGGCTATGGACCGTCCAGCCCAACTCACAAGCTGCCTGCGAGCTACGCCGGGGACAAGTGGGGCAGTGAGATGTTATCGCGCAACTCTCCCCAGGACGCCAAAGAACGTACGTGTCCCACGGCTCCCACGCTGTGCTCCCCTGGCTCTGGATGCTCCAGGCAGGGGACACACCTGCCCACACTGTTCCCTCTCAACTGCACCTTTTAGTGATCAGCACTAGACCAGCAATAGGCTTGGAGGAGATTCCAAGGGGTACAAGAGCCAAGAGAGCAGCCCTGGTGTTTGTGACTCACATCCCGGGCTCTCAGGGAGCCCAGGACAAGCAGGGCAATAAGTGATCACCCCATCCTTCCCTCCAGCTCGACCTTCCTCCTCCTCTTCCCAGGGAGAGAGTTTCCCTTCCCTTCCCAAACATTTAAGTGTGTCTAAGCAATCACAAACACTCAGGTCAATCCCTTTCTCTTACTCATCTGTTGCCATACACGCAGCACCCACCTGGCCTATTCCTTCCTGTGGTTCCACAGAATTCCCAGACAAATAGGAGAGCCACATCACTTCCTCAACCTGCACATGCTTTGAGGGGGGGGTCACAGAGCAGGAGAGAGACCAGGAGCCCTGCTCACCTCACCCTCTTACTCCACCCTGTTCATCCTCTGTGGACTCCTGGAAGCAGGAGCCCTTTGGGACAATGGAGAGCCCCACGTGAGCATCACAGACACTTATCCATTAATAACACCAAGTTATTCCCCACATCCTTCAGGAGTTTCATTGGGAAAAGTGATACCAGATACTGTGGCACTGCAGTTTTCATAGAAACATAAAATAGCCTGGGTTGGAAGGGACCTTGAAGATCATCTTGGTCCCAAGCCCTGATTTTTATGAGTCTGTTGCTCAGTCCCAGTTTGTGCTTTCAGCCACTTCTGTTCAGCTGTGGAGCAAAATCTGGAGCTCTGAGGACCTGGATCATCAAATTACTTACTAGAAGCAGCAGTGAGGACCAAAAAAGAACCCAATCCCAAATCTCTAACTGCAGATTCTCATAGAACTATCTTGCCACATCAGGCAACAGTGAAGGGGTGATGGGAGAAAAGTAAATGGCAACAACGTGCTGCCTCATGTGGGCTGGGGTTCTCCCCTCTTGCTGCTGTGTCTGCAGAGCAGTTCCCTGATTTCAACAGCCCAAAGGGAACTAAATAACTCAAAAACAGGAAGATGACAAACTGCAGCAAAAAGCCAACAGCAACACCAGACATCAGGGAAAGGGACCCTGTCCCTTGTCACCATCTGACAGCACCGGTGGGAGCAAAGACACTGTCAGATCAGGTTCACACCTTGAGCACACACTAGTGGGGGTTGCAGGGTCTCACATCCCTTGGCTGAGGTGAGACAGACTGGAAAAGTTACAAATGTGAGAAACAAGACTGGTCTCAATGTAAATTGTATCCGAAACAGGCGCAAATGAGGTTCTCACCAGTCACACTGCAAGGAACCCAAACCCAAATCTTCTTAGAACACTCAGCTGGGATTCTGTGATCCCTCCTCTCCATCATTCTGGAGAACTGCAGAAATCCCAGTTTCTCCCAAAGAGAAAGCAACATTTCAAAAGCTGAAGGAAGTCTTGGCTTGGGAGGAAAAGGGAGATTCCACACACTGCTCCAGCAGCCTTCAAAACCACAGTGGAACCCTGTCCACATTTGTTCCTGGCGGAATTCTGAAGGTCAAAATGTCACTGCTCACCCTATTGCTCCAACAAAGCACTTAAGCTTGTTCTTTAGAACGAAAATACAAAAGTAAGCACTTTCCTGGGGTGTATTTACAGAGTTAATAAAAATGCTGAGCCACATTCCAATTTTCCTTACAATTTCCCTGCAAACACATTCATTTAACAGGATTTCTGACTGAAGATTTGATTTCACTCCCTCCTTATTTCTACAGAACTTATTCACCAAATGGATGAGCTGAACGATGAGCTGCTAAAGATGATCACAAACAATAAAATTCAGCCTCCCCACAGGAATTTCAAAGTGGAAAAGCCTCAGGAAGTTTTTGTGCCCCTCACCTTCGAATCCAGCACCGAAGAAGTCAAAGCTTGGCTGGAGGCAAAGTCATTCAGCAAAGAGTAAGATTTGCTTCATTGCCACATGAAATGCTGCTCCTTCATTGGAAAAGAAGCAGAGGAGGCCACTTGCAACATCTCAACTGTGTGACAAGGCACTTGTATTTACTTACAAAGCCTGTGTTGCAAAATGCATTTCAATCCTGGTAAATCCAGGCTCTATAACCAGGGCATGCAGAGCCCAAACTCCCTCCCTTTCTTTCTTATACATGTTTTCCTGGAGAAAACTGCATAATATCCAACTAAACCCATGGCCTGAAATGCAATTGGGATTGCAGCTGCCACCTTGGCACAGCTCCAGGGCCTCATGATGTGGTCCTGGTGCAGCTCCCAGCCCTTTTATCTCTGGCACAAAGCCATCATCTCCTCCCTTTGTGTTTTCCCAGGACAGTGGAACACCTCGGCATCCTCACTGGAGCTCAGCTCTTCTCCCTCAACAGAGAGGAGCTGAAGAAGGTGTGTGGTGATGAGGGAAACAGAGTATACAGCAAGATCACGGTGGAGAAAAACCTACTGGAGGTAAGTATTTTTCTGGATAATCCCTACTTTACCAGCAGTGTCAAATATCTCATTAAACAGGCATTTTAAGAAACACAATTGAAAGAAACGAAAAACAATGCAACCAAAACCCACACCATCAATCAAACAACACCTAAAAATTCTCAAGAGGTTTTTAAGCAAAAAGGCCCCAAATCCATAAGGCAGATCCCCGTTTCCACTAATTAATCTGCTTTTTGCTAATATATCTCTTTCAAACTAGCTTGACCCCTACAGCATGAATTAAATACTGACATTTGCCTACAGCTTGAAGTTCAAATTCAAACCTGCTGGTTTTTTTCCATTGCAGAAAAGCAGAGGGGAGTCAGAGCTCCAAGAAATCATGAAGCGCCGCCAGGAAAGGATCGATTCTGCTAATTAAAGCCTGTCTGCTTTATTTCAGCTCTTAGTTCTAGTAGTGCAGAGAAAAAGGGAATGAAAGCAATGATCCCCGGGCCAGGCAGGAGACAGCAGTGCTGCACTTTGGCTCTGGCTGCCAGCAGAGTGACAATTCCTCCAACACTGTTGCTAAGGGTCGACAATAAGACCACGTCCCTCTGGGAAAGGTGTTTTAATATTGCATGAAGTATTTTTTTTATAACTATGTATTTTATACTGAAATTTTACGTGCATGCAGTCAGAGCGGGATTCACACGGGTCTGGATGAATGACAAGGGCTGGATTCAAGCAAAAAAAGACCCCACAAAGCTTTTGCCCGAGGGCTGTCCCTGTTCCCACCCCCTCTCCAGCATGGCTCAGGAAGAGCAGGCACGGAACAGCACTGACTGGTTAAAGTCTGGACCACGGTAATAAGGCTCTGGAATGGTTTAGGTTGGAAAGGACCTTAAAGCTCATCCTGTTCCAACCCCTGCCATGGGCAGGGACACCTCCCACTAGACCAGGTTGTTCTAAGTCCCATCTAACCTGGCCCTGAACACTTCCAGGAACAGGGAGTCACCACCTCTCTGGGCATCCTAAGCAAACGTTTTCTCATTCCCTCCTCAGAGCAGATATTCCCCTGCACAGGGCCTGTGACAATTCTCTCTTTCCTGGCTCCCCCTGCCACTTCCCTCCATGCCTCCTGTTTGGACAAGGCTGGAATGGCAACACACATTCCCAAAGACTGTCTGCTTCCTTAAATCCATGGACCAGTTAGTGCTGCCTTTGAACAGCAGAACTGAGTTTTCACTGCCTAAAAACGAGCAGGAGTGACAAAGGAAGTGATCTGAATATGGAAATGGGTGCGTTCCCCATGCCCACTCCTGCTTAGGCAGAGCCTGGGGCTCAGGGCAGCTGTGCAGCCCTTTCCAGTGACACTGATCCTAATTTAGAATGTTGTGGTGTTGCCAAACCCCGCCTCAAACCAGGAGAAGATAAGCCCTGACCATTTGCTCCCAACCCAGTTACACCCACAGCCCTTCCCAGGGTGTTGGTCACCCGTCCCCACCTTCACCATTGCTTTGCAAAGGCTCAGCTGAAACACCTCCTAAACCTCTAAAACCCAAAGGCACACTGGGAAAGGCTAGTTTAGCACAAAATAAATGGCCAACAAAAAAAAAAAAAAAAAAAGTAATTTGGCACAGGGTGTTTTTCTTTATCATATTATGTGCATATGTATATAAAAATCTATAAACAGGGGTGAAGTGAAACAGGATGAAGTGATTATGCATCAAAAATTTACTCAAAATTGTAAAACTCCAGCAAGTACAGAGTAGTTCCTGTCCACAGTAGGTTTGGCACATTGTATTTCTGTCTCTGTTTAATTTATAGACTTTGAGTGCAAAGCAGTAAAGCAAACAGCTTCAAACTGCTCACAGCGCAGGGAGAGTTGGGTTTTCTCCTTCACACACTTACCTTTGGCTGGGTGGGATTCACGTCCAGGTTCCACACCTGTGCTTGCCTGGACCTGCTGGGAATGGTCCCACCTCCTTTAAAATGCTTGTCCTTGCACATTTAATGGAAAAAGCTTTAAAACAGTGTCTGGGGAACTTGTGTCTAAATCTGGGAGCACCAACACACCTCAATTTTGTCTTTGTTCTTCAAATAATATCTCTAATGGATGATACATTTTCTTTATTTGAAACAAGGACTGGAGTGCAGGCAGGGAACTTGCAGGGCAGGATCATCTTTTCAGTCCCAACCCTGCTGGAATCTGTGAAGGGCACTTACCTTGTCAGGGAGGGATGAAGAGGACAATCCTCCTGAGAAGCCCTGGCTCTGGAGTAGGGTGGAGATGGGAAGCGGGATGGCAAGCACAGGAGGCGAAGCAATTCCTAAATTGAAAATAAAACCAAGTGTTGAGCTAAGAAACACACCCCCTTCCTTTGGGTGTAGAGGAAAACGAGTCCCACGGAGTTATAGTTATTAGGGATTGTAATGGGACAGTTCTGCAAAGCTGGGAGCCATGGGAGCACTTCCTAAAGTAAAATCTCGGCAGACCTTACTGCAGGACTCACTTTTATAAATTTTCATGTGACTGAGCTGTGCATCTGTTCTACTTGTACTGCCTACAGACAACGCTATAAAGTCCTGTACATTGATGTAACCGAAGGAAGGAGACAATGATATAACCATGCACTGTATAAGATTTATTAAAATAGTTAAGTTATACTTATAACTCCATCTCTGTGTTGTTCACTGGGTTTTCCCAATGGTTTGTCACCGAGTCTCAGAAACTCACCAAAATGTCTGAACCCACACATTTCCTGGGGGTTTGGGGGACTGGCATTCAACAGCAAGAATGCCGTGGCCTCCATAACAGTGTCCAAAAACGGAGGGGACCCCACACATGGTAGGAATTAAATGCCAGGAAAGCTGCCAGCTCAACTCCTTTCCTTGACACCTTGAAGAACAAATTTCTCTTACCCCTGAACGTGTAACTATGACAATACACCAGTGTTTCTACACACAGATGCTGTTCAAGGCTACATTTTGCACTGGCAAACTGAAAACCCCCAATCCTGGTCAATGCCAGCTTAGGCACAGCCCAGAGCAAAGAGATGCCTCTTCGCATTATCCTCTCTTGGGCTGGGCAAAGCATGAGAAAGGTGTACAAAAGCACGATCTTGCTCATCAGGAAAGGAAATTCCAGTGGCAGCTTACACAACTGGAACAGTACAAAGAGAGGGGACAGCATTGCTCAGAGCCTGTTAGACAGCCAAGTGACAGATTCTCTGACATTTCCAGCCAAGTCCCGTCCTCAGTTTCAGGAGCATAACCACGTTAACAGGATCACCTTCTCTAGAACCTGAAAAAAGTTGAGGTGAATGAACAGCCTAAAACACGTGCCTTGCTGGGTTGGGGGCTCTCTCACAGGCCGGAGCTGTGGCTGACTAGTCATTTCGAGCCTTGCCGCGACAGCAGGGGAGGAAACACAAAGCGCTGAGCTCCTGCAGCGACTGAGCACTTCCCTCAGTGCTGCCTCGCCCTCAGAGCCCGTCCGCCATCTTGTGCAAGCGGCGGCGCCCCGATCCCGCGCGGCCATGAGGGACGGGTGGCTCAGGGGAGGCTCAGGCGCTGTGCCCGGACGTGGGGAAGCACTCGGGAGAGGTTCGGCAGCCGGGAGATCCCAGGCCTGGCGACCCCGGGGCCGGAGCCCCCCCGAGCCCACCGGCCGGGGTCAATGGCGGCATCAGGGTCGCCAAGGCGATCACCCGCCCCGACCCTCAGAGCCACGACCCAGCCAATCAGAATGGCGCTCCCTCCCGCTGCCCCGCCCCGGCTCCTCCCGGCCGCGTCCGCGCTGTGTCGGCGCTCCCGATTGGCTGGCCGCCCCCCCCCTCGGGGCGGGATTGGCGCGGCCAGCCGGGAGCGCGCGGGTGGCGGGTGCGCGCGCAGGCCGGTCCCCTCCGGGCACGCACGGTCCCTTATAGGTGGCCGGAGCCCCCCAGAGCCGCCGACATGTCGGTGTCCCCCGTGAAGCGGCAGAAGATGGAGTCGGCGCTGGACCAGCTCAAGCACTACACCACGGTGGTGGCCGACACCGGGGACTTCAACGGTGAGGGGCGGCGCGGGGGGTCGTGTCAGTGCTCCTTCTCCTTAACCCCCCCCTCCTGGCACAGTGGGCACGCCCGGCTGAAGGGGCGCACGGCGGGGGCAGAGCGAAACCACCCTGCGGCGGGGGTGGGGAGCCGCTCGTCCAGCCCCGGCCTCTGCAGCCGGCGGGACAGATCCCGCCCGCCCGGGACATTTTCCAGACCCTCCCGTGATTTTCCCCTGTCTGCTCTCCAGTGTGCCCAAACCCCCACGCTCAGCTCCGCGCGCTGTCAGTAAGAACTGCCAGACTCAACCCAGGCTCTGAATTCGAGCTTTTTTCCAGCGACCTCTGTGGATTTAGGACTTTTTGGGGTTTTTTTCAAACTCAGTGCCAGGTTGGATGGGGCTTGGAGCAATCTGGGATAGTAGAAGGTGTCCCTGCCCATGGCAAGGGGTGGAAGTGGATGATCTTCAAGGTCCCTTCCAACCCAAGCCATTCCAGGATTCCATAAAAATAATGCCAAAATGCTTTTGTTCCCCTTATCTCCTGGGAATGAGCCAGCGCGCTCCTTTCCGAGGAAGGGAGGTGCCTTCCATTATAAAGCCACTTGTTCCCAAGCTGTCACTGCCTGGTGCCCTGCTTGGTCCATCAGAGCCAAAAAAATCCCTCCTGAGGATCTGCGGGTGGCGTAGAACAGCCCTGGAATCCCGTCCTGCCCTCCCCAGGCCTGGTAATCCCTAATCCTGGACGTGTAATAATAACCAACCACGCCACATGGGAACTGTCAGATGTCTCTGAGCAGTGAATTTAAGGTGAAGGGAAGCAGCTCAGACAAAAAACTACCCCGTGTGGTGGCCGAGGGGGTGGTGGTGTGCAGGCAGCAGGACCAGGGAATATCGCCCAGGAATCCCTGAGTCCAGCTCCTGGCCCTGTGTAGGACACCTCCAGGTTGTCCTCTGGCTGCCTGTTGTCACCTGGGGGTCATTGTTAGAGCCCAAAGCAAGGTAAGGATCCCACTTGGCTCCGCTGAAGGTGCAGTCTCTGCCGACTGTGGTTCCCTGCTGGGTTGGGTACAGAGCAGGAGTTCACTGAGGTGCTGCTCTGTTTTAAGCCGTGTCCACGTGAATTAAAGTTCGGAAGGACCTGTTTGTATGGAGTGGAGCTGCTCTCCAGGATGCTGACTGGGAGGGATCCGTGGAAAAACAAGACTTATTTTCCATACAGTTGCACAGTTTCAGTACAGTTGCACTCTCTAACTTTGGGGGTTTATCCCTATGCAAAAAAAAAAAAAAATGCTGAGGAGAAGGAGCTGGTAATAAATGTTTTGTTATCTTTTGACATTTAACTGCGTTGTTGAAACTGCTGAGGGGTCTGCAGAGGCTCTGCCCTGTTTGCCCAGCCAGGCTCTGGTGCCAGGCTGTGATTACAGCCAGACAATGTAAGTCACAGCCTGCTTTGGTAAACACTTGGCATCACCTGGAATAGGTGCAGTCCAGGGCTTAAGGTAAGACAAAGGGTCAAATACCTTCTGCAAAGAAGAAAGCCTGGTAGTACAAGGAAGTGACAAGGCCACTGAGAAACTACAACTATTTGGAAAAGGTTTAAAAAGCAGTAAGAAAAGTTGCTGTTCACCTGTCCTGGTCCTATTATCCTTGGACACCAACAAAAGCCTGAATTCCTGACTCTGGAAGGGAAGATCCCCTGGTCTTTACTCCCCCTCTGTGACTCCTGAAGCTCAGTTACACTGGGTGGGATATAGTTGGAAATCAGCACCACTTCTCTTCATCATTTCTACAAGCCTGTATCTCTTGGGCAATGTCTGTAGTTTATAAGGTTTAAAGTTTGCTGTATCTCGTTCTCTGTACTGTGGCACAAACGCCGCTGAGCGCTGATGTGCTCTGCCATTACCAGACTCTACGGCCACAAATGTTTACATCCTCACCCACCTGAGCAAAATCCCTCTCGTTTCTGGGGCTGGCTGGTTGTTTTAAACAGCCTGGTTTTCCCTCCTTAGCCATCGAGGAGTACAAGCCCCTGGATGCCACCACCAACCCGTCCCTGATCCTCGCCGCGGCCCAGATGCCGGCGTACCAGAAACTTGTGGATGATGCTGTTGCCTATGGGAAGAAGCTTGGTGGGTAAGTCAAGAGGGCTTTAATCTCAGGAGACCTATGTTTAAAATGCCTTATTTGTACAAGCAACCTACTGGGGTTTCCCCCTCGTGTGTTTGTGGGTTTATCTCCTGCCCGAAAAAAGCCTCAACACCGGAAGAAAGATTCCTTACGCTCGTGGCAGGTGTGCCTCCCCATTTACCAGCTAACACATGGCCTTCCCTGCTTAGGAAAACAGCAGCTTTATAGGAAATAATGTCCAAAGGCCAATCCTGCCAGCAGTACAGAGGGCAGGACACAAACACAGAGCAGAGCACGAGTGGCTCCATTTGGACTCTGGAATTTAATGTTAAACAGGCTGTGAAATTTGATCTTCAAATCCATGGTAAAGCATAAACATACCTTTTTTTTTTTTTTTTTTTTTTAATCCTCCCATATGCTTTTGCTTCTTGTGGTTTTCAGGTCAGAAGAGGAACAGATCAAAAATGCTTCTGACAAGCTTTTTGTATCATTTGGAGCTGAAATCCTCAAGAGGATACCTGGCCGTGTGTCCACAGAAGTAGATGCAAGGTTGGCTTTTTTCCCTCTGGGTTGCCCTGGATATTTGTACATACAAAAAGAGACATGATGTAAGCTGGAGAAAGGTGTTCTTGCCTAGAAGACTATCAGGATTTACATTGTTAATATTCAGAAGTGAGGCTTTCCCTTAGTTTGACTAGAACTCTGTAAGAAAAACAAGTAGCACTGCCCTTGGATTTCTGTAATCTTCCTGTTGTTTCTCAAGCCAGGGAAAGCCTCATGCTTCCACACTCTTTAGTTTTGCTTACTCTTTTCTCTGTGATAACAGCTGCTCAATTTACTGAGAGATCTGTTTGAACAGTTTATTTCCAAGACTTGCACAGGGATTTGTCTGTTAAAAAAAAAAAAAATTGGCAGTGAGCAGCTTAACACTCAGCTTCTAAATTTGTTATGAAAGAAAACTTCCTCCTCCGACGGCCTCGCAGTCGCGGAGGGGACCCCAGAACAAAAACGTTGTCCTGTTTCATCAGTGTTCACATGCCAGCTGCAGCTGGCATGTGAACACTGATGAAACAGGACAATGTTTTTCCACGGGGCTCAGGGGAGAGCACATGAAGCCAACAATCAGCTCTGAGCAGCCCTGCTCTCCTCTCAAAGGTTGTCCTTCGATAAGGAAGGAATGATCCAAAGGGCCCGGCGCCTCATCGACCTCTACAAGGAAGCAGGAATTGGGAAAGATCGGATTCTCATCAAGCTCTCCTCGACGTGGGAAGGAATCCAGGCTGGCAGGTAAGTCTCTGGGTGCCTGGTGTGCTGACTCATGGCATGCTCCTGCCTGTCCGCAGGCACCTGACAGGCGCCTTCTGACCCCAGATAAACATTGTGCTTCTGCAGGCACGGCCTGAGGAAGTTCTGGCACCAGCAAGGAAGGTGCTCTGCCCCAGCTTGCTGTTGAAATAGGGAAAGTTTGTTCATGCAAGAGCCAGGCCACAGTTTCCTGAAACACCCTGC